GAGACAACACAGTCGGGGGAGGGGAGGGCATCCTTTCGTGTCAACGGAACGGTGAAATCTCCTGGCAAGGCGTCCGCCCGCTGTAAGGCACGGCCGGCGCACTTGTCCAGACAGAGTGAAGTGTGCGACAGTTTCCGGCTGAAGCACTCAGTCCATATCTCAATGGGCTTTGGAGGCACTTCATGATCTGTCCTTGAAAGTCCCCAATGGGCTGTGCAAAATTTGATGTTTTGTTGCTGTACCTCGAGAGTAAATCATATTTTTTTTTCCTTCTCTTTTTACAGCCGAAGGGTGTCGATATTGTGGGGAAGTGAGTGTACAATAGATCCTGTCAATGAAGATTGCTGTATTTGGTATGAATTTTCGCACTGGTAAAAGCACCTGTATCGATCTGGGCCAGTGCCAGCACGTCCTATCCGATTTTGATACCGAATCTCTTTCCTATATACTTTGGGTTTGAGGATGATGTTATTAGAATAGAAAAAATGACGAACGGTGGGTGCCGGGGTCAGAATAAACTGGAGCCCGTGTTGAACGATTGATTTGCAACTACAACCTGAATCAAAGTAATATGATCCGCGCATTGATCTGCAACAGGATTTGCAACTCGTTTTGCGAGAGTCATTTCTGATACAAAAACTAAAGATCGAAACTAAACAAATTTCCATATGGTAAACAATGTCATATATGCCCGACAGCCTGCCGGCGCCCCCCTGCTGGTGCAAATTGGCCTCAATATGAAGCGCGTTGATTGGACATTGCTGCAGTTTTTGGATTAGAGTTGCCATTCATCGCTGGAAACTTTTTCGAAACGGCCAGCACGCCGCTCGGCCGCTCGGCGGTTGGATCTTTTGGTATATGAAGGTGAACTTGAATGACATGGCCTATGCATACCGATCTTGAGTAGTTCCAAGGTGGTGACCACTTCGGCAATGTTTGGATCTAGGAACTCGGCCAGGATATGGATGGATACGTTGTCAAAGAGGGTCAGACATTCGTATTCGTCCGCAAGCTGGAGTAATTGTTCCCAATCTTCCACAAATGTGATACCTTCCTGCCCACCCTCGTACTGAGTGTTGTAGAGATGCTCTACAAAGTATTGTACGATGGGCAGAGGGTAGCCCGTGATCTTGACAATTGTTGGCGACACATTTTCACCGTTATCACTCGGCCCCTTGGACCGTAGCCGCTTGGTTTTCTGCCGTTTAGAAGTACTTTGCGCCATTCCATTCGTAAAAAGGGCCCGGAAGTACTTGCTGCTGTTTGCCAGGACGGCAGAATGGGCTGGTATACTAGCAGCAGGTGCTCCGGCCACCTTCGAATGTTCAATCCTTCAGTTGCGGACGCTGTGGCATCTGGATACACCTCGATCTGTACATCAGATAGTTCTTCGCGCAGTTGCCGACCTTCGGGTTCCTTGTGCCAGGTGCGAGTCAGTTGGACTCGTAACTTGGCCTTCCGCTCTTCCATGGTGTTTCCTCGACGTTGAACGGGTACGGGCGATACGTTCTAAAGAGCTCGATGTAGAGCGAAGCTTTCGAGAAAAGGTGTACGCAGCCAGGTGATGAGCGTATGTGTATAGAGCTGATATCGTAATGAGCTTCCTCTGAAGTCGTGGTGATAGCACCTTGTATGCTGTTCTCAGTGTGCAGGGTGTGCAGGTTATCGTAGCAGCAATAGTCTCACCTCGTCCCCCTCTTCACGTCGGAGCAGATGGCCGCAGATGTGCCACTGGCCAACTACGTTATGCTATACTAGGCTACATTACTTGAACACTCTCAACCTCTCAACTCTCAACCGGTCTCAACCTCTCAATCTGCCGATTCTGCCTCTCAATCTCTCAACCTCTCAACCTTCTCAACCTCTCAACCCTCTCAACCTCTCAACCTCTCTAGCAACCTCTCAACTCCGCTTCCTCCGCTTTGAGCGCCGGTAAAGATCGAGTCTAGCTACAGTCTAGGGATATCTATGCGACAATGGTTGGCTGCAAAGGGTTGATTTTCATTGATTGGAGCTTGGTTGACTTTGTTTGCT